TTGAATATCAGTTTAACACAAAAAATATTCAAATACCACAATTATATTATGCTAAATCAATACTCGAATATATTAAAACATTTAACACAAAATTTTAACAAGGACGTAAGTAGATCGTTTCAAGAACATAAGTGCAAAATATTTTTATTGTGAAAAAAATAAAAATGATGAATAATGACCACTCGATATATACTTGTAGTGTTAATCACACAGCACGAGATCGCAGGGTCGACGCGCGCGGCACGCGTTCGCGAACGTGCACGCACGCGCGACGCACCGCGTCGCGACGCGGGGCGACGCACCCATACGCGGATAGAGCGGCGGGCGTGCGATCCGTACTCATTCGATTTCAGTCAGTTGAAAGCGAAAACCCGCTTAGCGTTCACGCCGCCGTGCCTCGACGCACGCTGACGCACGCACGCACGCTGCATACGCACGCACGCACGCACGCACGAACGTTCGCGCGAGATCTTGTCCTATTTATTGACATTGCGTTGAATTCAACGTACGCATCGGCCGCGGAACTCGACATCTCGTTACGGGACCGAGTCACGAGCTCGCGGCGCGTGCCGCATCGCGCCGCGTCGTGTCGCGTTGTATTCGCAATTTTTTATTTTCATGCTAGACAGCGACGCGGCGTCATATGTCGTATGATTGCTGTGGCGGCGACGGCCGCGTCGCCGGCGAGTCGCTTGGCGCCGCCCTGCGCGATACGTTGCATCTCATTCGCGAGGGTCTGCGCGAGCTACTCGGCGTCGATACGCAACACCGTTCGTGGATGCTTCCTCTCGTCGTCCTCGCCGTCGCCAGCCTGCTGCTGGTCGCCGGTCTGTTCGTCACAGGGCGCTACCACGTCGCATCGAAAGTCACTAGATCGCTAGACAGGAATAGAACGATATCGCCAGCGTTCGACGATTACGAGCATGACGAACGATAAAAATACTCCGCCGCCGGCTGTCAGCGACTGGAGCACACGCGACGCCTGTAAACGCGAGAGTTGTGAGCTGTAATCTCTCCCGGCGAGGCTTTATCATTTGGAATGACACGAGTGCGTCGGTGCGAGCCCCTGGGACTCTGCAGAACGCCAGAATGCGGATCGTTCAAGGACTTGGTCGGAGACGGACTCACGTTGCACTTTGGAAAGTCACTAGAGCGTATCGCGACAGAGTGTATTCGGCGATACGTGACAGCCGCCGGTTTTGCAGTGGCGTGAATTATTTCCTCTTTCTTACAAAAATAAACAGCTATGAAAGTTGCGCAATTGCGTATTTATATCGACCTAACACTTGGCTTATTATATCGCTCGCTAGCCTAAAAACGTTTCACAAACATTTTCGTACGTCCCGTCGCGTATGAAACACGTAATGTGAAATCTACAAACATTCCTGCCGTTTACTATCTCCCACAATTGTTCGCTCAATAATCGCCCGTTTGCCGACGTGAACGACGCGTTCTTCAAAATGAAACGAAATCAAACGTTTATTCATTAAGACGAAATCATTTATTTCCCGTAAACTCGGAGGAAGAATTTTGCCTACATCTAACGATTATTATAGTCATTATATAAAGTCCTTCTGAAATCATACAGTTCCTATTTAATGCTCTCGACGAAATTGTTTTCATCGTCGCGGCGATGTGTATGTATACGATCGTAACGATTCATCTCACTCGCGCAAATGTCATGCGCGAGCTTGGCCCGTCGCCTAGAAACGCGCCGTGCAAGCATTACATCTCCCCCCCGTCCTCGGCTCGACATCGACTGCGTATAATTCAAATTCAATCGCCGCCAACTCATCCCGCGGAAGTGCAATATGGCGGGCGCGGCACTGGCCGCCGCTGATTCGATTGGCGCGTGCGCGCGCCACGCGGCTCCGTCGGCGGCACGCTGATCACGTGACCGCGGCCGCTCCGCGGTAACTTCAGTTCGAACGCGCGCGGCTATGGTGTATCACGGAGCGTCGAGCGCCAGCGGCATATTCTTCACCGTTTTCGTCTCAGTAGCCGTCGACGACGTCGCAGACTCATCGACGACATGCGTGAATGAACGAGCGACCGACGTGAGAAGATGCGACGACTGCCGTGGCGTCGCGACGATCCGCATCCTACTACCTGCCAATTCACAACGAGGTAAGTGCGCCCCTTATTCACTCGCGCGGCCATTATCGTCGCGCGCGTTTTTCTTCGCGCGAAAATTCTCAGAAAAAAGATGACGCGGATACGAAATCGTATCGTAGTACTTGCCTATAACGATCCATTTTAATGCACATTTTTTTTCCTACAATCTTTCTCGCGTTATTTTGCGTTTCGGTTCGTAACATTCGCTTTTGATTCTCTCAATAATGTTTTTTTGGTCAAGCATCGATTCCGTATAATTCAAACTTAATCGCCACCAACTGTTTCCGTAGGTATGCAATTGTGTTCAGTATAAAATGTGTATTTTGTACGTGTTAGAAGTTTTCAACTGTTTTTTCAACAGTTTGTAACTTTTACAAGCTCTGATTGGATTATACTTTTAGAATAAACTGCCACTATAATGAAAAGTAAAATCTCACTCTTAAAGATCGAAAATGAGCCATTTTTTTTCAAAACTGGTTCAGTTTTCACCCTTTAGAATGAGATTCCACTCCAAAAAGTTTAGATAGACTCTGGATTCCGTGAACGCGTATTACGCATGATGTATTATTTTATGTTTGTTTAATATTCGGTGAACGACAAGGAGAAAATGATACATCTCGTGCATCGTGTTCGATCATTACGGAGCATAGCCCCAGAAAAATAGTTCTAATGTTTCAGTGAAGAAAACTTCCAATAGTAAAATTTCATTATAAAATTCCATTGTAAAATAAACATTTTACGGAACGCGGCCAATATCATATATAAGCATAGCGCGCGCATTTGATAGATTGGCGGTAGTTGATTTGATTGGCGCGTTGATTGGTGCGCGCGCCGCGCGGCGGCTCAATAGTCGCACGGAACGCGGCAGCTTCAGTTCGAACGCGCGTAGATACGGCGTATCGCGAAACGTTGAACGTCGGGCGGTATGTTTTCCATCGTTTTCGTCCCCGTTATCGTCAATGATTTCGCAAACATATCCGGAACACGCGTGGCTGAACGAGTGATAGACGCGCAAGGATGAGACGACCCGCGTTGTTGTATCGCTCGCCGAGATGTATCAAGGTGAGTGCGCACGTTCACTCGCGTAGCCGTCTTTATCGCGCGTGCTTTTCTTTGCGCGGAGATTCGCGACGAGAAAATTAGATCCAGTACGCAGTATTTGATTAACGACTTATTTCGTAATTTTTTTCTGCAATCCGTTCTGCGTCCGGAATTTTGAATTCCGGTGAATCAGGAAGCCAATTACGGATCTTGAAACGTAGGTGATAATTACGAAAAATGAACAAATTCATTAGAATTTTATAATTTTATTAGTCAACACCTAGTGAATTTTGTTCACTTTTGTAATTTTCATCTTGTTCCAAAATACACAATCGATTAGGCTTGATGCAACATTTGCACTTTGGCTTTCTGTTAGTAATCGTCATATGAAATTTTTTGGTTGTTGTAAAGGCTAGTAAAAATCATAAATATTAATATAATTTATTTGGAAGTTTGAAATAGTTTATTTTAAATATTTTATTAATATATGAGATGCGCATATATGAGACGCACACATGTTTGTAGAATATACAATATATATCTATATATATATATATACGTGCAGATATATTTTACATTT